ACCATAGCGGGCCGCCAAGCCCGCTGATATGCTCGCATGTGCGGCACCGGCGAAGCCGGTTGCCGCACATGTGAGTTATCAGTCGTACCAGTAGCGGGGCCGCCAAGCCCGGCTGATATACTCGCATGTGCGGCACCGGCGAAGCCGGTTGCCGTACATGTGAGTTTATCAGTCGCCGCCAGTAGCGGGGGCCGCCAAGCCCGGCTGATATACTCGCATGTGCGGCACCGGCGAAGCCGGTTGCCGTACATGTGAGTTTATCAGTCGTACCAGTAGCGGGGCCGCCAAGCCCGGCTGATATACTCGCATGTGCGGCACCGGCGAAGCCGGTTGCCGTACATGTGAGTTTATCAGTCGTACCAGTAGCGGGGCCGCCAAGCCCGGCTGATATACTCGCATGTGCGGCACCGGCGAAGCCGGTTGCCGTACATGTGAGTTTATCAGTCGTACCAGTAGCGGGGGCCGCCAAGCCCGGCTGATATACTCGCATGTGCGGCACCGGCGAAGCCGGTTGCCGCACATGTATTTATCAGTCGTACCAACAGCGGGGGCCGCCAAGCCCGGCTGATATACTCGCATGTGCGGCACCGGCGAAGCCGGTTGCCGTACATGTGGTTATCAGTCGTACAATGCAGGGGGCCAAGCCCGGCTGATATGCTCGCATGTGCGGCACCGGCGAAGCCGGTTGCCGTATGTGAGTTTATCGATCGTACCAGTAGCGGGGGCCGCCAAGCCCGGCTGATATACTCGCATGTGCGGCACCGGCGAAGCCGGTTGCCGTACATGTGAGTTTATCAGTCGTACCAACAGCGGGGGCCGCCAAGCCCGGCTGATATACTCGCATGTGCGGCACCGGCGAAGCCGGTTGCCGTACATGTGAGTTTATCAGTCGTACCAACAGCGGGGGCCGCCAAGCCCGGCTGATATACTCGCATGTGCGGCACCGGCGAAGCCGGTTGCCGTACATGTGAGTTTATCAGTCGTACCAATAGCGGGGCCGCCAAGCCCGGCTGATATACTCGCATGTGCGGCACCGGCGAAGCCGGTTGCCGCACATGTGAGTTATCAGTCGTACCAATAGCGGGGGCCGCCAAGCCCGGCTGATATACTCGCATGTGCGGCACCGGCGAAGCCGGTTGCCGTACATGTGAGTTTATCAGTCGTACCAGTAGCGGGGCCGCCAAGCCCGGCTGATATACTCGCATGTGCGGCACCGGCGAAGCCGGTTGCCGTACATGTGAGTTTATCAGTCGTACCAGTATGGGGCCGCCAAGCCCGGCTGATATACTCGCATGTGCGGCACCGGCGAAGCCGGTTGCCGTACATGTGAGTTATCAGTCGTACAATAGCGGGGGCCGCCAAAGCCTGATATACTCGCATGCGGCACCGGCGAAGCCGGTTGCCGTACATGAGTTTATCAGTCGTACCAGTAGCGGGGCCGCCAAGCCCGGCTGATATACTCGCATGTGCGGCACCGGCGAAGCCGGTTGCCGTACATGTGAGTTTATCAGTCGTACCAGTAGCGGGGCCGCCAAGCCCGGCTGATATACTCGCATGTGCGGCACCGGCGAAGCCGGTTGCCGTACATGAGTTTATCGTCGTACCATAGCGGGGGGCCCAAGCCCGGCTGATATACTCGCATGTGCGGCACCGGCGAAGCCGGTTGCCGTACATGTGAGTTTATCGATCGTACCAGTAGCGGGGGCCGCCAAGCCCGGCTGATATACTCGCATGTGCGGCACCGGCGAAGCCGGTTGCCGTACATGTGAGTTTATCAGTCGTACCAGTAGCGGGGGCCGCCAAGCCCGGCTGATATACTCGCATGTGCGGCACCGGCGAAGCCGGTTGCCGTACATGTGAGTTTATCAGTCGTACCAGTAGCGGGGGCCGCCAAGCCCGGCTGATATACTCGCATGTGCGGCACCGGCGAAGCCGGTTGCCGTACATGTGAGTTTATCAGTCGTACCAGTAGCGGGGGCCGCCAAGCCCGGCTGATATACTCGCATGTGCGGCACCGGCGAAGCCGGTTGCCGTACATGTGAGTTTATCAGTCGTACCAGTAGCGGGGGCCGCCAAGCCCGGCTGATATACTCGCATGTGCGGCACCGGCGAAGCCGGTTGCCGTACATGTGAGTTTATCAGTCGTACCAGTAGCGGGGCCGCCAAGCCCGGCTGATATGCTCGCATGTGCGGCACCGGCGAAGCCGGTTGCCGTACATGTGAGTTTATCAGTCGTACCAGTAGCGGGGGCCGCCAAGCCCGGCTGATATACTCGCATGTGCGGCACCGGCGAAGCCGGTTGCCGTACATGTGAGTTTATCAGTCGTACCAGTAGCGGGGCCGCCAAGCCCGGCTGATATACTCGCATGTGCGGCACCGGCGAAGCCGGTTGCCGTACATGTGAGTTTATCAGTCGTACCAGTAGCGGGGGCCGCCAAGCCCGGCTGATATACTCGCATGTGCGGCACCGGCGAAGCCGGTTGCCGTACATGTGAGTTTATCAGTCGTACCAGTAGCGGGGCCGCCAAGCCCGGCTGATATACTCGCATGTGCGGCACCGGCGAAGCCGGTTGCCGTACATGTGAGTTTATCAGTCGTACCAGTAGCGGGGCCGCCAAGCCCGGCTGATATACTCGCATGTGCGGCACCGGCGAAGCCGGTTGCCGTACATGTGAGTTTATCAGTCGTACCAGTAGCGGGGGCCGCCAAGCCCGGCTGATATACTCGCATGTGCGGCACCGGCGAAGCCGGTTGCCGTACATGTGAGTTTATCAGTCGTACCAGTAGCGGGGGCCGCCAAGCCCGGCTGATATACTCGCATGTGCGGCACCGGCGAAGCCGGTTGCCGTACATGTGAGTTTATCAGTCGTACCAGTAGCGGGGGCCGCCAAGCCCGGCTGATATACTCGCATGTGCGGCACCGGCGAAGCCGGTTGCCGTACATGTGAGTTTATCAGTCGTACCAGTAGCGGGGCCGCCAAGCCCGGCTGATATACTCGCATGTGCGGCACCGGCGAAGCCGGTTGCCGTACATGTGAGTTTATCAGTCGTACCAGTAGCGGGGCCGCCAAGCCCGGCTGATATACTCGCATGTGCGGCACCGGCGAAGCCGGTTGCCGTACATGTGAGTTTATCAGTCGTACCAGTAGCGGGGGCCGCCAAGCCCGGCTGATATACTCGCATGTGCGGCACCGGCGAAGCCGGTTGCCGTACATGTGAGTTTATCAGTCGTACCAGTAGCGGGGGCCGCCAAGCCCGGCTGATATACTCGCATGTGCGGCACCGGCGAAGCCGGTTGCCGTACATGTGAGTTTATCAGTCGTACCAGTAGCGGGGGCCGCCAAGCCCGGCTGATATACTCGCATGTGCGGCACCGGCGAAGCCGGTTGCCGTACATGTGAGTTTATCAGTCGTACCAGTAGCGGGGCCGCCAAGCCCGGCTGATATACTCGCATGTGCGGCACCGGCGAAGCCGGTTGCCGTACATGTGAGTTTATCAGTCGTACCAGTAGCGGGGGCCGCCAAGCCCGGCTGATATACTCGCATGTGCGGCACCGGCGAAGCCGGTTGCCGTACATGTGAGTTTATCAGTCGTACCAGTAGCGGGGCCGCCAAGCCCGGCTGATATACTCGCATGTGCGGCACCGGCGAAGCCGGTTGCCGTACATGTGAGTTTATCAGTCGTACCAGTAGCGGGGCCGCCAAGCCCGGCTGATATACTCGCATGTGCGGCACCGGCGAAGCCGGTTGCCGTACATGTGAGTTTATCAGTCGTACCAGTAGCGGGGGCCGCCAAGCCCGGCTGATATACTCGCATGTGCGGCACCGGCGAAGCCGGTTGCCGTACATGTGAGTTTATCAGTCGTACCAGTAGCGGGGGCCGCCAAGCCCGGCTGATATACTCGCATGTGCGGCACCGGCGAAGCCGGTTGCCGTACATGTCAGTTGCTGAATTGAAAGGTCATCGAGAACGGATGGTGGCAGTACCAGCATTGTCATCCCCAAATCGCTGGCTACGCGCTGCCGCCAATAAGCATAATGTTATCACCGGCTCCGTAATAACTTTAATAACCTTCGTCGTTTTATTGAAAAAGGCTGGTTACCTCGGCAGCACTTTTGAAAAAGTCGATCCGCTTTTCGTTTCCCGGAAACATCATCCCGGTTTCATTTGTAAGCAATCATCTGCAGAATAAGGTGAAAAGAATTTTAATTTTTTTAAGACACGTTAATGACATGAATAAATAAATGGTGGTATTCGAAACTGAATACGCTGAATATTTTCGCCGCGATTATCAGCGGACGTGATTGTTGATGCATAAAAATATGAACCAGTAAACAAAAACTGATCATGCATCACACATTCCTTCACGCCGTCTTACTTCGAGAGCGCTAAACCCGACAGCTTTTCTTGCTTTTGCACTGCTGTAGGACATCATTTTATTGTGGCAGCATGTGCTATACCGTCTACATACATCTACTTGTTAACTTATAACGTAAATAATTACTTGCGGTTATTACTATCGGTTATTATTATTGCGGTTATTACGAGTACTATCGGAACACCGCTTGCGATTGCATTTATTATTCCGTAAATAATTAAACTATAGTTTGCTAAAATGCCAAGGCGCAGTTTCCGTCAGTCAGCTGCCACATTACTTGAGCACATCATATTGCGGAAAAAATCCCAGGAAATTTTAAATTATCAGCTGAAAGTCGAAAGCAGTAGCAGTGAATCCGATTCATCTGAAGATGAAAACTACTGTAGTGGATTGTTGGATGACCTAACATCACCAATTATGTTGCGGCTGTATCTTGATCATGTAAAATATGTGGAGCGGCATTCTATCCCGAAATCCCACGCTTTTTATGACGACCTACTTTTTAATTTGGACGATAATCGTTTCCGGCAAGAAATGCGAATGTCCCGTACAACATTTGAAGAAATTCTTAACCGGATTTCGAATCATAAAATTTTTACAAACAAATCTAACTACTCTCAAATGCCTGTTCGAAAGCAACTGGCCATTTCTTTATGCCGGTTGGGTTCATCCGGAAATGCTGCTTTTGTGGGATGTGTTGCTCGAAAGTTCGGCGTATCAGAAGGAACGGTGGATTTAAGCACAAGGCGAGTAATACTGGCTTTAATTTCTATCGAAAAAGACGTAGTGCGGTGGCCAACATCAGCCGAAAAAAAGGAAATTAAACACCGGATTAAGTCCAGTCACCATTTCCCAAGCTGCATTGGATTTGTGGACGGAACTGACATCGTCCTGGCTGTCAAGCCGGCACTGAATGGAGAAGATTATTTCAGCAGAAAGAAGAGCTACTCCCTTTCCGCAATGGTAGTATGCGATGACAACAAACGGATTACGTATACGTGTTGTGGTTTTACGGGTGCAACTCATGACAGTCGCGTTTACAAGAATACCGAGCTTTGGCGTAATTCGGGAAAGTACTTCAAAAAGGATGAATATATACTTGCCGACAGCGCTTATGCTGTAAGCACCACAGTTTTGCCCCCATACCGGAAAGGCGAAAAAGAAAGAAGTATTGCCAACCGGCGATTTAATAAGCAGCATTCCCGTCTGAGAGTTAAAGTCGAACATTGCATCGGTATGTTAAAAAACCGGTTTCAGTGCTTAAAAGGTCTACGAGTATTAATTGCATGCAAAGCTGATCACGCTCGGGCAGTTATGTGGTTCCGTGCATGTACTGTATTACATAACATTTGCATCGATACAAGAGATCCTTATGATCCAACATGGGGTGAGCTACCTAAACGGGCATCTGATGAACCCGGCAACGAAGCGGATGAAATCGTTCCTCTAGCGGAAGAAGGATCACAAAAAAGAGAACGAATTAAAAATGCTGTACTAACAAGCATGGCTGAGTAATTTTTAATGTGGCAAATCAATACTTGTATGAAGAAATAAAAACACCGCTGTTATTTGCGTTACGCTGTAAAGTACTGTAATATGTACCATTGTAACTGTAATTGTACAAGTATAAAAGCAACACACATAAACAATAATAAGAACTAATTATACGAGTACATAAAACAACGATGATAAGAAAATTGTTGCACAATAAGACTGGTCATGTGCCGGAAATACAGACCTGCCAACTGGCGTTAAAACAGCCCTTTATTCCATTCCTAATTCTCGCATTCTAATGCGAAGCTCCATCCGGCGCAGCTCTTGTTCCGTTTCCTTAATTTTTCGGTCTTTGTCATCTCCCCCCAACTGTTTCCGCTGTAAATCTATCCTATCTTGCTCCAGTTTAGCTTTCTGTTCAATGCGCATACGGGAAAGCTCCATCTGTTTCTCTATCTGGCTGGCATGAGTCCTGTCCAGTTGCAGTAAAGTCTCACTAAATGACAGCGGCGCCTTGGAAGCCGGCTTGACTTTGGTTTTCGACGTCTTCCCATTGATTTCTTTAGTATAGCGGCTTGGTTTATCGGTGTCAGAATCGGAATCCAGAACGTCGCCGTCCAACCGCATGTCGTTGTAGCTCTTGAACTCTTCATCGCCTTGTTGCACCTCAGCAGCCACGCGCAGGTCGGTTGATTTTGAAGACTGTGATGCCGCAGACTCATCTGGTGTGTGTTGCACTGTGGTTTGCCACATATCCCGCATAATTTGTATTGTGATTGTCCTTTCCATACTCTTTATTCGATGTAATCTGTTCTTTATATGTTCCTTTTTTAAAATACCAAAAAAAAAAATCCATGTGTAAAGTAGAGGAGAGCAAGCGGTCTTTTTACCTTATTGTTGCTTCCGTTGCACGAGTTTTGTTTACAAAACTTTGAAAAAAGAATAGGTTATGCGTGCCTTTTCCCCTAATTTGTAATAGGGGTTTTTTGCCGCATAACAGCAAACGGAACTCAATAAAGGTTGAGATATATATCGTTACCCGGTAATCCGGAGTCGCCAAGCAACATTCGTTCATCGTCCTGCGGCTCAACATCTGTTTGGCTTATATAAGGTGGTTCAATGGCCGGGCGGCAGCCAAAAACAGGATCCAGTTCATAAAAGTACTTGAACATTTTCTTCACCGCAACTAAAAGTTAAGAGAACAGCTGACACAAAGTCAACATGTACAAGTCTATAATAATGTCATATAATACTACTTGTTACATAATGTTATGTCCCAAAAAATGCAAAAAACATGTTTTTTCAAAAATTAGGTTTTTGCTTATTTCCTATTTTCTCAGTAAAAGAAAACGATCTGCCATTGCAGATTTAAAATTTGGAACTTCACATTTTGGTCTACAAGATTAAGAAACCTTTTAATATTTGTCAAGAACTTCTTATACAGTGAAATCAAGACTATTTAAATTTTAAAATTTTTTTAAAATTTGTTTTTTGTAAGTTTTTTTAATTGCAATGCAAATGACAGCATCCAAAAATCATTGAAGGCATAACACACACTGTTTTGTATATAAGTACCTTCGATCGTCTGCTGTTTCAATCTGCCTTCGCGATCCAGGTTGGCATCAACAAGTCCCGCTCCATTATTGTTCACCCAGTCGCTTGCTTTCTTGTACTTATCTTCCCAGGTTCCGATTTTGTCCTTCACTTGCTTAGCCGTTCTTCGCTCGGTGTTGCATTCCTTTGCCACGTGCTCCCCAATGACTGCAGCAACACGGATTTTCTTCTCTCCTCCCTCTTTCTTTTTCCCAGAAGATTTCCATCGGTCGTAGTTTGCCTTCTCGCTAAGCCAGTCAGCTAAGGTTCTGTCTTCGCTCTCACTCCATGTGTTATAGCCGCGTGGGCTAGTGTCCCGAGTGGCTCGCTTGCGTGGCTTCGCCGTAGTAGCAACAGGAGATGGAATGGTGGACACAGATGGAGAAGGAACAGTCGAGATACTGGGCAATGGAGCGATGGTTACAGGCTTTGCTCTGTCTGATTTCAGCTTCTTCTTAGAAGGCGCCGCAGTCGATGACATGATTAAGCGAGTGTTTTGCAAATTAATTATTAATTATAATCCCGTAATTAAATATCAATACGATAATACGAGTACGGAAAGGTGGACATACATATAAATATATGTATATACTACGCCGCAAAGAACTGATGTAAGTTGAGAAGAACTTGTTGAATTTATCGATGTGTTCTGTCAGATAAAGGAAATAAGCGCCTTTCGCGCCTAGAAAAGCTACTCGCGAGTAGCTTTTTCATTTTGACTTTTCGCGCGTTTTGAGGGCGTAACGCTTATGGCGTGATTGTGAAAATGATCCAGTTATGAATCGATTCCTTATCTCTTCAAATTTGTCACGTTTCGCGCTGTTGCACTTTCGCGGCTAATCTATGTCGCTTATTCAGTTTCGAATACCCTTAATATCAAAGGCATACAGAAGATGGCGCCTCAACTCTGCGGTAACATTAGCCGCAGCTGCCGAGCTGCTGCTCGTATTTTACCACCCGACTGCATCTGCGGCTAATGTGCGGTCTGATAGTGTGTGCAGAAATATGGCTTTAAGATTTGGCACTTGTGATAGTTTTCGCACAATATTCATTGCCCTAGTCTAAACCTGCGTCACAGCAAAACAGCTTACATATTTTCCATGAATTGTTATGATCCAGTAAGCCTAATGGTACCGTAATACGGCAGAAAATGCGATTAATAAGTTATAGCGCTTCAAAATTTCGTTCTTGCCTTTGTTGAAAATTCGTTTCCCTTTCTTTCTTACCAATCTTTATGAAAAATTTCAGAAAACTGTCTAACCAAACTGAGGCCATTAAAATGAAGACTGTGTTCCTCTTTACCACTGTTCAGTACACGAAATCTGGACCTTGAAAGCCAATTCTACAGGTTTCTAGCAGTGCGAAAAATGTGGATAGTTGATCCTGAGGACCAATGTGGGTTTGCTGTGCACAACCGCTTCCCAAGCGAACGATTACTTTGATCGTCGATTAACAGGCTAGCAGCAACGATTAGTTTTTGCGAATGTTACAATAAGCCGGTTTCGGCAACAATTTCTTCAACAAAAGACCGTTAGATTTTCTTTTTCACGGTAGATCGATCATAAACGCGGCTCTCATCAACAACCATGGTATTCGATCGGATGAAAGTCTCCTCGATTCCAGTTTACTTTGTATTTTTGGTATTAGTGCAGCCGTTAGCCGATATTGTTAAAGACCATGAGATCACACATCGACGAGAATAGTATATGTTTAGCAAAACATAACTTCAGCACGATATCAGCAATTATTCAATAGTATATACAGTATTACCATTGTACTCCACATTTATTATTACGTCATGTTCCTCGGTTATGTTAAAAGCGGAAGCCCGAATGCACTCCATGCTTATAGAAGTTTTAACTGCAAACAGTCATCAGTGATCACATATATAATCGAAACACTGTCGAAGTCGTTGTGTTCTCGATAACGCTTCGAACAATTTTTCTATCATATTTTATAATTTGCATGTGGTGCTGAAAATTCCGCCAACTGGTGCATATATGCAATAACATCACCTTTCTGCAGTGATACGTTTACAAGCAAAAAACCATGTTCATACAGGCGCGCATCGTAATAAGTGCCTTTATTAAGCTACTTGGTTTCCTAGTTGCATACGCTTGAGTCAGGTAGAAAACGAAGCACTGTGAGTGAGTCCGGTAGAAAACTAATTTCTTTTCACCGCATTGCGCGCAGTGATACCCTATCGCACTGGTGTTAACTAAATCATAATTTAATCAGTTACTAGTACTGCCCCTACGTGCGGTGCTTAATGCGGAAAGGGACGAAATCACTTATCGAGAAAACGAGAAAATCTCTCTTATGTTTTATTTGAATCAAAGCATCTGTCAGAAAGTTTTCGCTCTTCTTAGTCATTTCCGCCTTCGATCTGTGCGAAGACCTTTGCACTTTACGCCCTATCAATTGGAAACAAAAACAAGCAAAACCCCGATGAGCGACTCATTTCTCGTGCTGTTCAAAACTGCACAATCTATCTGTAGCGTCGTCGAAAGCAGGCGCCTGATTTCTGGCTCTTTATCATGCTGTGAACGGTAGCCCCTAGGCCCCCAAGTTCACTGATAAAACGATTTTACGAAAATCTGTAATCAGTGTGTCGCAAATATCTTACAGCAGCACTCGCACATGTTCGGTACGCCGTATTGAATCACTTGAGCATAAGTGAAAAGATGTCCTGGATAGAACGTAACAACCACAGAAGTCGGACAGCTCATGTACTTTTTACGGCACTTATGCGATTAGACTTCCGATGGCAAGATGCTATCTCGCTTTTCCGGGTGCAGTGTAGTTCCTTGCTCGCATATACAAATAAACAGACACCAGACAAGACCAATTTCACTCCACATTTAAGTACAAATCTAGTTAGCATGCGCAATCGTTACCAGGTACAACGATCAAATATCTGTTGAGTTTCCTCTGGTACGGAGCAAGATCTTGTGCGATATAAATCCTGTGTTTTTTGTTCATGTTTCACTGCGCCGCTGCACGCTGCATTACCACCAACTACCCCGTGACCTTCACGCCCATTCCGGAGCCGTTGGAACATTTGAATCGCTACTGCAACTACAGCGTCCGGGGTGCACTCGACGATCCGAAATCTAACCGGCTCATTGACATTAGATGTCGCAACGATCCACAATCTGCACTAAATCAAGAAGATGTCTGGATGGCGAGCCCCAGTATGGTCTATTTCCAAGGCGATTACGATGCTTAGCCGCGCCGTGGAGGATGCCATTCAGCAAGTGAAGCAAACATTCCCAAGGCCTTTGGTTCGCCAGATTCGCGTGGACGTTAACGGCTATCGCCAGCATCCGGCGCGGGACTTCGATGGACGACTGTTAGCCGTCATCCATGTCAGTAGTAGTAGATTGACTGAAGGACTGGAGGAAATGATTATGTTGAATTAACCGTGA